AACACCGTCTATACACCCCTTTATTATCTAATATAGCCTTACAATCAACACTATCTATACACCCCTCTACTGTCTAATATAAGCCACTAGTCAATAATATAGCCGCACACTCCTGTACTATCTAATATAGCCTCACACTGTCTATACACCCCTCTACTGTCTAATATAGCCTCACAACCAACACTGTCAATATACCCCTGTGATATCTAATATATCCTGCAATACTGCAACCTCTACAACCTAAACAAACAGGGTAATGAAATCAGAATAATGAAATTTTATATTCGCCTTTATACTAAGTGCTAGTTCAAAACACTTTTATCATTCAAGAACTTGATTGCCTTGTAATTCTAGCACTAGTCCAATGGAACCGTCTATGTTATTCAAAGAACTCAACTTTTATCGACAACATGTACTGTAAACATACGGTATGTACCGAAATGATCAATCAATACAATTTCCCACCCATGAATTGAGAACCAATTTTTATTAAAGGCAATTAACTTTCAGCCATATCGCAGCTTCACAGCGTAATGGATTGCTTCGCATTTTGGTTTTAATTATAATTAAAACAGCAAACTCATTAGTTAATGAGGCCGTCTGGCTTTCTAATGTTGTGGAGACCGTTGTGTAATTCATCGAGGATATCGGGGGATAAACGGTTTTTTAAGAACCAATTGATTTGTAACCAATCTAAAGCAGTTTCATGGTTGTAAAATTATAAATATTCATTATTAATATGTCTCTCTGTGTGTTTGTGTGTGTGTGTATGTGTGTGTATTTGTGTGTGTGTTTGTGTGTGTGTGTTTAAGTGTGTGTGTTTAAGTGTGTGTGTATATAAGTGTGTGTGTTTGTGTGTGTAAGTGTGTGTTTGTATTTGTATGTGTGTATATTTGTGTGTGTATGTGTGTGTGTATTTGTGTGTGTATGTGTGTGTATTTGTGTGTGTGTGTGTGTATTTGTGTGTATGTGTGTGTGTATTAGTGTGTGTATGTGGGTGTATTTGTGTGTGTATGTGTGTGTATGTGTGTGTATTTGTGTGTGTATGTGTGTGTATGTGTGTGTGTATGTGTGTGTGTGTATTTGTGTGTGTATGTGTGTGTATTTGTATGTGTGTATTTGTGTGTATGTGTGTGTATTAGTGTGTGTATGTGTGTGTATTTGTGTGTATGTGTGTGTATGTGTGTGTGTGTATTTGTGTGTGTTTCTAGCAAAGAGTAAACACGACAAGCTATCTATGCCTAAGAATTCCATGAGTGTCGGGATTCAGTACCAGACATGCATCAAGAAGTCTAGCAGAGATGTACATCCACGCAGAAGGTGCAGTCTAACCCTAAATCTAAACATTTACCTATCCCTAAACCTAAAAAAAAACTAACCTTAACCCATAAAGGAAGCTTTGCGTTTTGGTTAGGATTACTTTTCTTTTTCTTTCTTTTAATTTTAGACATTTGTGTATGTTTAAAAGCTTTATTTTTTTTCTCTTTGTATTTCTGCTTTCGTTTTATTTTTAAACCTCTCTAAAATAAAGAATTCTATACTATTACAATGCTTAAACAAAGTATTAATATAATTCGAGATTTTTTAAATTGAAAATGACACGCAATCTATAGAATACCTGGATCTCACACTGTCGAGGTAACATGAACTAAATCATACCAAAGTGCCTTACCCAGTGTACCACTGTTGCTATGCCCAAACCGTCCAGAACATTGCTGAGATATAATCATAGAAAACATTTCTTTCATTTAGCAATAGATAAGGAATGCGCGAAAAATCAAGCGCCGAATGCATTTTGTGAACGATTCAAGTTGATTGACCTATTGATGATATTTGACCTAATCAAGCGAGCGCAAGTGGTTCAGTTCTAGCGCTAGTCTGTGACAGCGAGAAGACAACTCAAGTGTTCACTGACATTTCGTTTTGTCGCCGATACTCCATACAGACAGTCCCCGACATTTCACGGTCGATCTATGCTCTATTTATCTGAGCCAGATACAGGGGACAGCCGAATTCAATCGCGCTACGTTCAAATATCTATCATATATAATGGATATATTGAGTAGAATATTCAAGAGAAGACCATTACGTTGTTGGTAAGAAAAAATGATTTTCGCAATATCTGAAGGACGGTGCAAATCTCTGTAGGACACGGTACAATGTCTGTAGGACACGGTACAATGTGTGTAGGACACAATGGTATTTCTGTAGGACACGGTACAATATCAGTAGGACACGGTACAATGTCTGTAGGACACGGTACAACGTCTGTAGGTCATGGTACGGGACACGGTACAATGTCTGTAGGACACGGTACAATGTCTGTAGGACACGGTACAACGTCTGTAGGTCACGGTACGGAACACGGTACAATGTCTGTAGGACACGGTACAATGTCTGTAGGACACGGTACAACGTCTGTAGGTCACGGTACGGGACACGGTACAATGTCTGTAGGACACGGTACAATGTCTGTAGGACACGGTACAGGACACGGTACAATGTCTGTAGAACACGGTACAATGTCTGTAGGACACGGTACAATGTCTGTAGGACACGGTACAGGACACGGCACAACGTCTGTAGGATACGGTACAGGACACGGTACAATGCTATCTCTGTAGGACAGGGCAAATCTTACAGACTATCTGAAGTGTCTCCAGAAGCTGTCAGAATCTTATCAATGACGTCATCACTCCACTTGCCGATGATTGGATCATACGTTGACAGAGTACTACCTCAAATGTGTCACAATGTCATAGCTGATGTCAGTTACTGATGGCTGCAGCCAGAAGCCAGTAAAAAAAAAAAACAACTAACAAATAGCTAGTGAGAAAACCAACTTGTAAACAGCTACAACCATCAGACATTTTTTAACTGGCAAACTAAAAGTAGAACAAGTAAACGTTGGTTTGATCCCGTGTTGAATGTTGTAGTGTTGAATGTTGTAGTGTTGAATGTTGTAGTGTTAAATGTTGTACTGTTGAATGTTGTACCGTTGAATATTGTACCGTTGAATGTTGAATGTTGTAGTGTTGAATGTTGTAGTGTTGAATGTTGTAGTGTTGAATGTTGTAATGTTGAATATTGTAGTGCTGAATGTTGTACCGTTGAATGTTGAATGTTGTATCGTTGAATGTTGAATGTTGTACCGTTGAATGTTGAATGTTGTAGTGTTGAATGTTGTACCGTTGAATGTTGTACCGTTGAATGTTGACTGTTGTAGTGTTGAATGCTGTAATGTTGAATGTTGTAGTGTTGAATGTTGTACTGTTGAATGTTGAATGTTGTATCGTTGAATGTTGAATGTTGTACCGTTGAATGTTGAATGTTGTAGTGTTGAATGTTGTACTGTTGAATGTTGAATGTTGTATCGTTGAATGTTGAATGTTGTACCGTTGAATGTTGAATGTTGTAGTGTTGAATGTTGTACCGTTGAATGTTGAATGTTGTACCGTTGAATGTTGAATGTTGTAGTGTTGAATGTTGTACTGTTGAATGTTGAATGTTGTATCGTTGAATGTTGAATGTTGTACCGTTGAATGTTGACTGTTGTAGTGTTGAATGTTGTAGTGTTGAATGTTGTACTGTTGAATGTTGTACCGTTGAATGTTGACTGTTGTAGTGTTGAATGTTGTAGTGTTGAATGTTGTAGTGTTGAATGTTATAGTGTTGAATATTGTAGTGTTGAATGTTGTACCGGTGAATGTTGTAGTGTTGAATGTTGTACCGTTGAATGTTGTAGTGTTGAATGTTGTAGTGTTGAATGTTGTACAGTTGAATGTTGTAGTGTTGAATGTTGTAGTGTTGAATGTTGTACCGGTAAATGTTGTAGTGTTGAAAGTTATACCGTTGAATGTTGAATGTTGTACCGTTGAATGTTGAATGTTGTAGTGTTGAATGTTGTACCGTGGTGAATGTTGTACCGTGTTGAATGTTGTGCCGTTGAATGTTGAATGTTGTACCGTTGAATGTTGAATGTTGTAGTGTTGAATGTTGTAGTGTTGAATGTTGTAGTGTTGAATGTTGTAGTGTTGAATGTTGAACCGTTGAATGTTGAACCGTTGAATGTTGTAGTGTTGAATGTTGTAGTGTTGAATGTTGTATCGTTGAATGTTGTAGTGTTGAATGTTGTAGTGTTGAATGTTGTACCGTTGAATGTTGTACCGTTGAATGTTGAATGTTGTACCGTTGAATGTTGTAGTGTTGAATGTTGTAATGTTGAATGTTGTAGTGTTGAATGTTGTACCGTTGAATGTTGTACCTTTGAATGTTGAAGTGTTGAATGTTGTAGTGTTGAATGTTGCACCGTTGAATGTTGCACCGTTGAATTTTGAAGTGTTGAATGTTGTAGTGTTGAATGTTGTAGTGTTGAATGTTGTAATGTTGAATGTTGTAGTGTTGAATGTTGTACCGTTGAATGTTGAATGTTGTAGTGTTGAATGTTGTAGTGTTGAATGTTGTAGTGTTGAATGTTGTAGTGTTGAATGTTGTAGTGTTGAATGTTGTAGTGTTGGTTGCTGTACTCCACGTTTTCAGCAGCGACCATTTACTATTCGGCCCGGCAAAAAAAAAATAATATTTTCCTATTTGTAGTGCATTCAACAATACATTTTTATACAATTTCTCACGCTAACTTTACACGAAACATATTATGGGCGGGGTCTTGGGGCTTTGTTTTCCTTGGGCTTGGGCCAAACAAAATTTGAACCAATTGTTAAACTGTTGTGTGGTCCTGTCACAGATACATTAGCACTGGTGTGGTTCTAGAGATCTTCACACAATGCTGACACGGTTATCTTTCCATGTATATGGTGCGTGTTACATGTAGTACAATACTGACACGGTTATCTTTCCCTGTGTAGTGTGTGTGTTGTTGTGCTGTATCTAGCGTGTGTTTGTGTGTATCTGTGTCTGTGTGTGTCTGCTGTAGTGTAACCTGTTTGCGTGTTGATAGTTTAAAAAAAATATTGAAATCACAGTGACAGAAAAAATGCAGCAATATAATTTAATAACACAACCAGATGATGAGCATTTGATTCAAACATGTGAATATAACAGCTGGGTGCAATGTTCTCTGGGCACATGACTTAAGTGGACATATGGTACACAGTGGTATAAACAGGAAGTCGACATTTTGTCGCATACACAGGAAGTCGACATTTTGTCTCATACACAGGAAGTCGACATTTTGTCTCATACACAGGAAGTCGACATTTTGTCTCATACACAGGTAGTCGACATTTTGTCTCATACACAGGAAGTCGACATTTTGTCTCATACACAGGAAGTCGACATTTTGTCTCATACACAGGAAGTCGACATTTTGTCTCCCTTTCAGTTTCACCAGAGACGCAAATCTTTAAGTGAAATATTTAATATCCAAGGAAAAACGCCTAGTCTCCTCAATAACATACACAGTTTTAGAAAGTTTTGTTTCTATACTCATTATTTTAATGAAAGTTTAATTAATTAGTGATATTGACGACATCGTCAATAAACGTAACTTTCTTCTCCGAGGGGAGAGAGAGGGGAGATAAGCGGTAGTTGCAGTTTTTCAAGATGAGCTCCTCACTGGGTTGAAAGTCCCTGTCTGATGGCGAGACCACGTGGTTTGTCTGACCCTCGTCGTCTGGGTAGTGAGCTGACATGAGCGATTGTTTGAACACAGACGACGACGCGGCGATCTCTCCGTACGACATACTGCGCCTGCGCGGCGAATGTTTTAAAATAGATTTCGGCTCGCATCGTTCGCCTGAGGGGATCGCCGTGACGTCAGAGGTGGTGCAGAGAGATCGTCTGCGCATGCGTGGCGAGGTGTGGGGTATCCCGCCCACCGCCAGCCTCTGGACGGTATCCTGGGAGATGGTCAGCTGTTTGGGTTTTTTGGTGCCAGTTCTGAGGCTGCCGTCTGCAAGTCCGTTGGTTGCTGAGGTCACTGGCCTGCTTGTGGAGCCTGGAGCTGCCAAACTGGCCCTGACACTTCGCGGTGATTTCAGGCTGTCGTCTGCCGGTTTGGTGGAGTCTGTCTTTAGCTGGTAGCTGAGCGGACGTTGTGACCAGCTTGCGGCATGCGGGATGCCGGGTGTTGTTGCTGGTTTGGTGGAGGATGTTGCCCTCAGTGACAGGCTTCTCCTGACTGGCAGGTTTGGCTTTATATTGGCCATCAGGACTTTAAAAATCTGGCAACTTCAGAGCCGGTGTTGTTTGTATCCTAGTGAGATGGGGTTCAACATCTCTTTACACAAACAACTTCAGCTGGAACAGAAAAATCCAACAATTTTTTGTATATTTCAAAGAAGAACAGGAAAATCAAACAAATTCTTGGATAGTTCAAGCAAGAACAAAAAAATCCAACAGATTTTGTATAGTTCAAGCAAGAAAAGAAAAATCCAAGAAATTCGCTGTATAGTTCAAGCAAGAACAGGAGAATCCAACAAATTCTTGTATAGTTCAAACAATCAGTTGACAACTGAAGTCAATTTTCAAACCTCAAATTTAGCCATAACACTAAAGTCTTCCTGTCTTTCTGCGGAAAAGCAAAAAAAAAAAAAAAAAAAAAAAAAAAATAAATTCATTAAATCATGAAGATGAAGAATATCCAAACAACAAAAAAAATAAAAAATTAATGTAACCAAAATACAAAGTGTATCCAAATGTTCACCTCACGTCTACCAGTTCTCATGTTGAACAAGCACTGAACTGTCCGTGTATTCGTTTAACCGAAGCCACGTTTTTTGTTCCAGTCCAAGTTTTTATGTACACTCCAGTTCCCACCACGTGACCGCTAATGTATGTGTGCTACGGTCGTGCTGGTAATTCAATGCTGTATGCGGCGGTGCACGTCCCATAACGAGGGGACTCAATGGGACCGTTGCTACGATCAATTCGTCTTATCTACGGCCCCACGTCCCACAGCTACCGACGTGACGTAACCGTGGGGGGTGGCGAGGGGGGAGGGGTACTTGACTTTGACTTCCTCAAGATAATCATTTTCACTCAGATAATTTTTCACACAATACAGATAGCAAGAACACAATCACACTTGAAGTAACAATCACGACCTAACACTACCCCCCCCCCCCCTGTAGACATGTAACAAGATTGACAGGTTATGTGGTATAACAGGCAGTACCACAAGCGCCACTGTCTAGCGTATGATACAGAAACGCTTATTACACTTAACAGTTAACCTAACCATAATCCTACACCGACTGTTTTGTAAACTGACCTAATCAAAGTCAATCAATCTACAATGTATATGGCCACATAATGTAATAAAATAGTGGGCTGTTATACCAGTGTCCAATAATGCCACAGGAAATGGGTGTCATATTTTCTACGGGGGGGGGGGGGGGCACTTGAAATTTTCGAAGAGGGGGCGGACTGAAACTTTCGGGGGGGGGGGGGGCTGACACTGTGTAAAAGTATATATTTTCTATATAAACTATATACGTTCCATTTTGTTCGGGGGGGGGGGGGGGGCTAAGACTCCTTCCCCCCACCCCACTGAATAGATGCCTGGAAGAAACTCTGATTTTGAGCTATGACTTACTAATGTCAATGGCAACAGTATCCCTAACCCAAGCCCTAATCTAGTCCTAATCCTTCAACTCTATCTATAACACTGACACTAAACTTAAGATTACAGTAGGCCTACTACTTCTTCTTCTGCGTTCTTAATTTAGTTTATGGTGACCACACATTTTAGGAATAATCTTTTATCGGGCATCCATTATAGCAATATTCCCAAATAGCCATACATACTATGTGTTTAACCCTAACCCTAATCATACCTTACCAAAGTTTAAACAACCTGTCATAACTGTGGTGTTTTAATCTAAGCATGATACACATAGGCCTAGCGTGTTTATTTCAGCCCTTACCATAAACCCCCAGTCCGCATACCCCAGTCGAGTATGACCGGATGTAAACACTGAGGTGTCAAAGTTCACCCCAGCCGCTACGCTCCATGGTTGCACGCGAGCGGTTCCTTTGATTCTAGCCTCGACTAGAGCGGCGTCACGCTCCACCAAGCCCAAGCGATCGTCTGCGACAGGATTACAGTTGATAGACCGCCAGTCTATTGAGGACGACACAGCAGCGTCGAGGACTGGAACAATATCTTTTTGGCTGTCTTTCAAACCCGGCCTGTTACCAGCATGTCGCCGGCCGAACAAACACGCCATTGTGAAATGTGCAAATATTTCTCCACGGGAACTAATCGCCTCTCTATAAAAACCAGCCTGTTTATTTCAAGCTGTTTTTGCGACGCGTAAAGTGCACGACTACTATACTAGGAAGGTGTTCATATTGCATACAGCAGAAACCACTTTATAAAGACAACAGCATTTTCTAGAAAAATCCCTGACATATTATTATGTCGCTTACCTTTACCTAAGCCCTATGAGTTTTATGGCAACTTTGCCTGGGCATTACATTGTCATTAATTGTAATCTTGGATAGGATTCCCTTCAACACAAAGTATCGCATTTCAACAAGGTATGTGCCTTTTGGCTCGTTGACTCCGGTTTAAACCTGAATCTTTCTAGATTTGCTCCCATAGCCTTTGTCCATCCAAGAACAGATTTTAAGGTAGCAGTTGTTTGATTTTGGAGTTAACTCTCCTATATGTGTTGCTGTCCCCAGCTATTTAGCCCCAGCTGCCGGGGAGTTCGAACTCGGGACTTTTCGGTTTAACAACCATGAGTTTATGGCCCGACCATGTCGACCCTTTATAACGGCAACAATATTATAGGATACATCGGTAAAACTAAATGAAAGTAGAATTAGGAAACAAATCTATTTAAGATATCCTAATGTATTTAACATATACTTATATAATTAACCTATCCTAATGTATTTAACATATCCTAATGTATTTAACCTATCCTAATTTATTTAGCCTATCCTAATGTATTTAACCTATCCTAATGTATTTAGCCTATCCTAATGTATTTAACCTATCCTAATGTATTTAACCTATCTTAATATATTTAGCCTATCCTAATGTATTTAACCTATCCTAATGTGTTTAGCCTATCCTAATGTATTTAACCTATCCTAATGTATTTAGCTTATCCTAATGTATTTAACCTATCCTAATGTATTTAACCTATCTTAATGTATTTAGCCTATCCTAATGTATTTAACCTATCCTAATGTATTTAGCCTATCCTAATGTATTTAACCTATCCTAATGCATTTAACCTATCCTAATGTATTTAGCCTATCCTAATGTATTTAACCTATCCTAATGTATTTAACCTATCTTAATGTATTTAGCCTATCCTAATGTATTTAACCTATCCTAATGTATTTAGCCTATCCTAATGTATTTAACCTATCCTAATGTATTTATCCTATCACTCACCAAAGACGAGACACACATTTCTTTGTTAAGATGTGTGAGCACGCACGTGAGATCCACACACTCACCTACAGCTGTACCGGCCTGTCTGTCGACCTGTTCCCTGGATCTGTCGACCTGTTCCCTGGATCTGTCGACCTGTTCCCTGGATCTGTCGACCTGTTCCCTGGATCTGTCGACCTGTTCCCTGGATCTGTCGACCTGTTCCCTGGATCTGTCGACCTATTCCCTGGATCTGTCGACCTGTTCCCTGGATCTGTCGACCTGTTCCCTGGATCTGTCGACCTGTTCCCTGGATCTGTCGACCTGTTCCCTGGATCTGTCGACCTGATCCCTGGATCTGTCGACCTGTTCCCTGGATCTGTCGACCTGTTCCCTGGATCTGTCGACCTGTTCCCTGGATCTGTCGACCTGTTCCCTGGATCTGTCGACCTGTTCCCTGGATCTGTCGATCTGTTCCCTGGATCTGTCGATCTGTTCCCTGGATCTGTCGACCTGTTCCCTGGATCTGTCGACCTGTTCCCTGGATCTGTTGACCTGTTCCCTGGATCTCTGCACATATACGAGCCTTAGACCCGAGCTTTAAAGGTGACCAAAAAAAGCATAACTTATTTAAATCACCCCCCCCCCCCCCCCCCCCACCTCACCTAACGGCATAGAGCGTGATATTAAAAGGATATTGAACTCCGTCAATGACGGGCTATAGATCAGTGGTGTATCGACTCGAGAACTTTGACCTTTGCATTATTTAGTTCATTGGCGTCACCATCCATCTTCGTGTTAGGCTAAATGAGGAGGGGGAGGGGGGGGGGGAGAGGAGGTGTGATGAGGTGAGTAGTGAGTTGCTGGAGAGGTAAAGTTGGTGTAGTTGGGTCGTGAGGGGGGTATTTTATTAGGCAGAGGTGGTGACACATAGAGGCGTGGTGAGATAATGTGGTGAGGCTTGCTATTTGGTTATATAAAGAGATGGGGGTGAGGATTTATGTGGTGAGACAATTAGTGGTGAGAAAGTAGTGGTGAGACAAGTAGTGGTGAGACAAGTAGTGGTGAGACAAGTAGTGGTGAGACAAGTAGTGGTGAGACAAGTAGTGGTGAGACAAGATATGGTGAGACAAGATGTGGTGAGACAAGATGTGGTGAGACAAGATGTGGTGAGACAGGATGTGGTGAGACAAGTAGTGTGAGACAAGATGTGGTGAGACAGGATGTGGTGAGACAAGATATGGTGAGACAGGATGTGGTGAGACAAGATGTGGTGAGACAGGATGTGGTGAGACAAGATGTAGTGAGACAATTAGTGGTGAGACAAGATGTGGTGAGACAAGATGTGGTGAGACAAGATGTAGTGAGACAATTAGTGGTGAGACAGGATGTGGTGAGACAAGATGTGTTGAGACAAGATGTGGTGAGACAAGTAGTGGTGAGACAAGTAGTGGTGAGACAAGATGTGGTGAGACAAGAAGTGGTTAGACAAGATGTGGTGAGACAAGATGTGGTGAGACAAGATGTGGTGAGACAAGATGTAGTGAGACAATTAGTGGTGAGACAGGATGTGGTGAGACAAGATCTACGACAAGATGTGGTGAGACAAGTAGTGGTGAGACAAGATGTGGTGAGACAAGACGTGGTGAGACAAGTAGTGGTGAGACAAGTAGTGGTGAGACAAGATGTGGTGAGGCAAGATGTGGTGAGACAAGATGTAGTGAGACAAGACGTGGTGAGACAAGATGTGGTGAGACAAGATGTGGTGAGACAAGATGTGGTGAGACAAGACGTGGTGAGACAAGATCTACGACAAGATGTGGTGAGACAAGTAGTGGTGAGACAAGTGGTGGAGAGACAAGATGTGGTGAGACAAGTGGTGGTGAGACAAGATGTGGTG